TACGGTAATGTTTTGAATTATACACAAAAGGGTTGCTAAATTCTTAAAAGTTCATAACATAATAATGAAAAGTAATTAAAAAAATATATATGTTTAATTATGTTTATTAGTATACGCACCTTCTTCGGCTGCATGTATTTAGAGAATTCAGGAAATATAGTGGGAACTGCTCCATTTAGTAAACGTCTTTTACAGTCCGCCCCATAAAAAAAAGTCTTTTAAAATGTTTTGAACACTATCTTTCCTTTGGCGCAGGCATCCAATTTGCAATTTTCGTTGCTGAATCCAAAGATTTTTTGCTGTATCCACAAGAAATCTAAAATAAAACAACAAATAAATATTGCTGCAATTAAATAAGAAGCAAAAGTAAATTAGGATTTAATAAAAGTTAATATTTAGAATTGTACGACACGCCACTGGAAAAAATTAAATGTTTGGCCAGTTTAATATTATTAATTGCTTAAATATCAATGAAAAGCATAAAATAAACAAACTTGGTGGGTAAAATTTATTACTCTGGAGTGAGACATGTACAATATGTAAATACCAAGTTGTATAACACCAAATAAAATGAAAAATATAAGAAAATATATAAAGTAAAAACGATTTATGTTTATCATTTACCTGTAAATTGTAATATCTGCTTATTTCTTGCCGCTATAACTTTAACACTGATATGCCACACAATAAACCATTTTAATAAACCAATTATTAAATGTCGTTTAATTCAAAAATTAGAAATAAACACGAACAAAAACTTTGATGTCACCGAAATGATTAGCACCAAAATAATGGCGGCCAATAGATAATCGGCACAGAATACTACGTGTGCTCGATATACTTGTTACGCGTCCTCTCTTTATTTAGTTTAAATTACTACCTACGTGAGTCGTTGATACTTTGTTTAACCGTGTATAGAAGTCGTTAAACTAAACTAATTTTACAAATAATTTTTCAAAAAAACTCAAAAATAAGAAACTTACAATAAATTGTATTCAGTACAGTCCTGTAAATAATGTGTCCAAATTTTTCACCTTTCACTGAAGTATAAAAAAATAATAACGAAATTATACTTCTCATTTACCTTAATTTCCAGATTTGGATTTTTTATTTCTCTATCTTCCTTATTTTTAATTTTTTTATTGAAAAAAGTGATTTGAAAAAGATATTTAGTATAACGACTTCTATACACAGTTACAAATCTGATGTGTCCAACACATAACTTTCCTGTTTTGTTTTATATAGTGTGTCCATGAATGGGGTCCCCAAGGGGGAAAAATCTTTATTATTCATTTTACGACCAAAAGTCATTCTTTATAAAAAGTTTTGCTTGTTGAGAAAATGGAGTTGCCTTATAAAAATTTTAGATTAAATGTACAGGGTGTTAATAAATTAGGAAAATATGAAAATGCTTCAAGAGGGAAGTACCATTATTTATTATTTTTAACAAAAATTTTGTTAAACAAAGTTGTTTATAAACTAGCATAGAGACTAAATACAAATTTTTAAATAAAAATTCTAATATTTTAAAATAGAATATTAATAATTATTACTTTCATGTAATAATTTGCATTTTACAAAAAAAATCAAGATAGCCGATTTTGTATACGTTCATGTTATGTCAGCATTTTATTTACATCTGTCAGTATTTTTGACAACTTTGTTTTATAAAAGTTTTAAAAAAATCGTATATTAAACAAAAATTATAGAAAATGATATCGCAAACAAGTATTATTTGAAGAATTTTCTTCTCCAATCGCAAATAACAGGGATGTTCCCATGACATCCAATAAAGTATTAAATTCGAATTTTGCACATTATGTCAAATTTCTCGAATACGGACTATATTAAGAAAATTAGGTATAAGATAAAAATTATAGACAATAACATTGCAAGCAAATTTTATTTAAAGAATTTCCTTCTCTAAGCGTAAATAACAAATATCTTCCATAACCCTCACAGATGTTCCGACTATGCCCAAAATCTAATCATTTCACCGCAGGGTAGATTAAGGCTTAAGTTTAAAATTTGGTGTTTTTCTCTTTATCCGTTTATAGACACACAGGCACACACATAGACATCATCGCGAAAATAGTAAAAACGGATTTAGGGGACCCCAAAACGTAAACATGTCCTTATCTGTATACAGACAGCAAAGTAAAAAAGAATATCAACTTTTTTATTCTAATTACTTTTTGTTGTATACCTAAAAGTCGTTCATTCTACTGTTAATTTTAATTTCAAAATACGGTCAGTTCATCGATTTTAAAGTAGCGAATCAGTAATAAATAAGTAGTTTACGTTGAACCAAACGAGTGACTAAAATAAAATTTTGAATAGTCTGCATAGTTAACCACCCAACTTTACTCACAAACACAAAGGTGAGAGAGCTTATTCAATAACAGTCGGCAGGCGTCTCGTGTGATATTAAAGTGACACTTTGGAATAACGGTCCTGTAACAGCTTAGTCTCATTAACCCCGTTTCTAAGTTATCCCCAAGGAGAAGTTTCTCCTATCTTGGGCGGTGTACACTACACTGCACTTTCCGTAGTAATCAATTCACCTGTTCCTTTATACCAACTAATAACACTTTGGTGTACTATAATGTTGCTCTCTGTTTGAGGTGAACAAACTTATTATGAAGTTGAATGGATAATGGACAGTTTTTTTTTTTTCGTTATAATTATTGAAAAAATATTGTATATAACACCGTTTTGTGTAACATATTCATTTTGCGGGACCTCGTTCTGCTCGTCTCGTAAAGATTCATTCGTTACATAAAATAAGGCATTTCGTAACCGATTGCATAAATAACTATTATTTTGTATAATTTAGAAACTTTTCTGAAAAAAAAACTCTTTAATTTCCAATATGCATCTCCTCTTTAAGAAAAAATTACAAAAATGTTTGCATTATAATATGATGCCAGAAAATAATAATACTCTAGTTTTGTAGAATTTGTAAGTCTTGGTTAGGTAACAGAATCTAAAAGTACCCAATTTTAAAATATGAACGAGAAAGAAAAATACTAAATTTTTCCTCGTTTTCTTCTTTTAAAAAAAGTATAAAATACGGTTAATTTACATCGAGGGTATTTCAATGCGATATTAATTTGAAAAATATACCATGTTAAGTAAAAACAAAAATTTTATTTTCAGTAATTTTCTATTCACTCTGTAACTATTAATAAAATTTAAAAATTGTGAATTTTTTAATCGTAAAATCGTAAATTGAAATCCGAAGAGTCAGAAATATCTGAAATTAGTGGTTGAATAATTTGAGAATTCGGAAACAAGTTTCAAAAATCCCCCTACGAATTATTTAGGCCATCTCCGAACTCCAAAAGTAAAAACGAATACAAGGAGATTTGAAAACAAGTATTATAAGTAATTTTAAAAAACCGCCTTCAAAATCGTGCAGATGCCGTCACCACATCTTAGCCAAATTTATATGGGACCACCCCGAAGGTACCTCCTTACTAACAAAAAAAGAATCATCGAAATCGTACAAGGTGGTAAAGAACTATCGCTAAACATACATAAAAAATTAAGAGTTTGAGGATTTTTCTCATGGACCAAATTATTAGATTTTTACCAAATTTATATGGGACGACCTCTGAGCTACTGCCTTTTAACAAAAAAAGATTTATAGAAATTGGACAAGGTGGTAAAGAATTACCGCTAAACATACATTAAAAATGAAGAGTTTGAGAATTTTCTAATGGACCCAATTATTAGATTTTGACCAAATTAATATGGGACCACCACTGACGTACCCCCTTTCTAAAAAAACGAATCATTGAAATCGGACACCGTGTTAAAGAATTATCGCTGAACATACATGTATAAAATATTACGACGAATTGAGAACCTCATCCTTTTTTGAAGTCGGTTAAAAAAGCCTGTCGCCGTCGGGAATCGAACCCAGATATCCTTGTACCCTTTTTTCTAGTCTAGGCTATCACGACATTGACTGTCGAAATTAATAGACGGAAATTTGATGTGCTAGTTCAGGCCAGACGGTGTTTAAGCTCGTTCTCAAATCTTTAAATACCTCTATTACAGCATCAGTGCACATGATACATGCATTTATGCATACTAAGCCCATATCTTCGTTTGCGTGAATTAAATTTTCCATGTACGTTAAGAGACGTAAACCTGATTCTTTGTTTGGGGTCAAACAACTTTTTATTTTTTTAAACCATTCCAAACAATCTGACTTTATTTTTCGTGTAAAGCACTCAACAGTTCGTGGTCTTTACCAATTATCCTTCTGTCTGTCTAGACTCTAGACGGACAACCGGCAGATAGGAGATAAATGAAAATAACAAGTACTTACAGCCAAGCATTTGTCCCGATATTACATCGATTGTCGTGAAAAAAAAGCTGGACGCTTTGACCACTGATTACTGTATGTGCTTTACTAATTTAATTAACAACAATCCTTTGTTTTCCAACGGATTGCGACGAGCCCGTTTTAGGTATATACCAGTTGGTGGCCATTTAATCACTTCCAATTTAATACCGCATTGGTTTAATTTAGTCCAGTAATATTGAATCAATTCTGCTTTGTAGCAAAGTAAAATGTAAAATCAAGACAAACAATACTCTTATATATTGAATCTAAAATTCTGGATATAAACTTTTTGCTTAAAGATATACATCTATTATCATTTTAAAAATAATGTAGCACTCATACAATATGCGAAATAAAAATTCAGAGTCAATTGGACAATGAATTTACTCAAATATGGAATCAAAAATTTATAATTTATTCATAATCAAATCGCTACTTAAAACGGTGTTAGAAAATTTCAACACCGTGACTTTATCCATCATATAATAGAAATCCCGTAATCAAACAGACATCTGTTTGTTAATAATAAAAATAAATCTTTAATAATTCCTACTGACATGTTCTATAATTGATAATCCTGATTTTAAAGACAATGCTTCTTATACATTTTTTAAAGTATCTATTCTTTGCTTCATTTTACTGTATCCTCCAGAAGCCTGCGTAGTACCTCATACTCTAGAGCGGACAAGACATCGACCAATGTTTTGTGACGAGCTAATCAAAGTGTTTTCTGCACTTCATGGTCACGGAGTCCATCAACAAATGTTTGGACTGCTAAATATTCCATCATGTTTTCCGGAGCTGATGGGTAAACAAATCGCAACAAACCTGGCAATATCTACTTTATATTCTTGAAAAGTCTCGTCTCGTTTCTGTTGCGATTCTTTAACTGTGACTGGTATAAATGCTCCAAGTGATCGTGGCCATATCGCATGTTTAGTCTCTTTTTGAGTTGTTCAAAATCATCCATCTCTTCCACAGGTATTGTCTGAAGAACATCTAAAGCGTCTGCTCGAAGGGCGATGTTCAAATTTACTGCCTTCTCTTGTTCAGACCATTCCTTTGCTCTGGCAGCTGTTTCGAACTGTTTATGGTAGTTGGCCCATGACATCTTCTCGTCGAAAGTTGGGGTTTTAACACGAGCAAAGTTTACAGCTCTTTCCAATTTCAACTTTGACTCCACCTCATGGCACTTTATTTCACCGTCATTGGCCGGTTTTGTATGTTCCAGCTCTTCTATCTTCTTTTCCATCTCTTTTGTTTTCGCCTTAACGGAAGACATCTTGTTTTCCACATCAACAGAGATTTAATTTTTTAGAGAAGACATTTTGTTTTCAAAGTCGAAAGAAATTTCATCTTTTAAAGAAGAGATATCAGAAGAAACTTTAATTTCTAAAGAAGAGATTTCGTTTTTCACGGAAGACATATCAGAAGACACCTTTTCTTCTAAAGAAGAGACTTTACCATCTAAGGAAGAAATGTCCGAAGAAACTTTACTTTCTAATGAAGTAATGTCAGAAGAAACTTTAGTTTCTAAGGAGGAAATATCATTTTTAATAGAGGAAACGTCAGTAGAAATATCGGTTTTTAATGAATATATCTTCTTACTTTCCATATCAGAAGAAATTATAGCAGAAGATGAATCATCAACATTAGATACGTTTCCGGATCCAAACCCTCACTTTCTAGTGCTTCCTTAAGACGTTCTGCCAGCTCTTCTTTCTTCCCTGTCGTCTCCAGATCACGATCTTCTAATTCCCGATGTAGCTCGGTCAGTTTTAAGTAACACAGTCTTTTAACCTTTTTAATCACTATTTATTTACACTATCCCACTTTTGACACCAATGTTACGTTTGTTTAGTTTATAACACAGTTTATTTGAACACTTATTTATTTTAAAACAATACTATTCTAATTTATTAATTTCGAATGTCTTTAAATTGTTTACTATTCATCTTCACAACTCTTTGAATACGACCAACTGCTCCGTGTTCCCCCACCAATATTTATATACACATTGCAAATTCTGGCGATGCTCTATACTCTGTTTTTAAACTAGGAGGAGCGAATTAAAAAGACGCATTTACACAGGGAAAAGTAACTAGATTTATTACTAAAAACGAGTTTCGAAATATAGTCGTGTTCAAAATTTATGAAATAATTATCTTTATCGGCCTTAGTCGGTGAACGGCCAATGAGCGGTTAAGAAACGAATAAATGTCATAGAAGTAATTTTTTAATTGGTCCCAGACAACGGTCGCAAATTTCACATTATTGTGATCTGAAATGGGTGTCTAAAACGAAATGTCACTGTCAAATTAAAGTCAATATGGTTGTTGATTGATGTCAGAAATACTTTTTTTTTGCTTTTGAAATAGACTTTTTGAGAATAACTATGATCTTTTTAAAATGAATATTAAATATTTAAGAAAATTGTTAATGGAATATCCAGATGTAGCCAGGTTAGTATAAAATATAAAGATCTGTTTACATTTTTAAGGATATATTTGTTATAGGTATAAAAAGTAAAAGTTAATCAGTGAATGACAAGTGGATCACACAGTAACTGGTATCTCTTCTATGAGTAATGTGGATATTATGGCTTATTTAGTGTTAACCCATGGTTAATGCGCTAGAGGGCAAATAAAGGCATTTAAAAGTGTACAGGCCTCTGAGTCAGAATTTGTTTTGAAAACTGGAACCAAAATTTTCATAACACTACATGTCAACATATATTTTTTAAAGTGAACTATTCATACATACCTATGTATTAATTTTAAGTATTTTTAAAATTTTTTATTGTGAAAGTAATGTTAACTCATTGTGTCAAATTAAGATTATCCCTAAAGTAGTAGATGGTGTTTTAAATGTTATAACAATTTTGTAAATAGTTTTACTTTATTCTGATAAATAAAATTTGCTTGAATATTTAGTTACATTTTAATGATTTTGGTTAGAAATTCATCAATTTTTAGTTTTAAAAAATCAGTAATAAAATTATTTTTTTCTAAAATACTTCGGAATTCATCTCTTCATGGTAATCTCCCATCTTTTTACCTTCAAAAACCAATAATGCATTTTCTACAAAACCTTCATAATCAGCATGTAAAATAATAAGGTGTCTTCCCTTTCTTGTAAGGCTTTTCAGGAATTGCTACCTTTAATAGTACTCAGTGTAGAAGGATCCATAATTGTAGATTTTTAATACAATTGCTTACTGAAGAACTATTATTTACGAAATAAAGTAAAAAACTAAGTAATGTATGAGATATCAAATTATAAAATGTCAGAACTGTCAACAATATTAATTATTAGCTGATGTTCATGCTAAAAAGTAATGTGTGAAACTGACTGTAATTTGACCAATCAGAAGGCTACAGAATTGCCAACTTAAATTCAAATCGCTCCTCTTAGTTTAAAAACAGAGTATAGAATGCTCTCGCCAAAACTAGAAACATTATCACGTTCGTTCTGGAAAATAATCGAAAGCGCCTTTGCCATAGTCGTCACATATTTTTGGTCTTAAGGGGTTTAATTATGTATGATAATCGGATAAGTTGAGCCTCGAAGGCCAAATAAGACAGAGAGGGACTTGGATGATTAGAGCATGACTGAATAATGAAATGGCTGGTATTACAATATAAAGAGGCCCAAAAAATGTTGTTGGGTACCTGAACAACAACAGCAGCAGCAGTAAATGAAAAAGAATAAGATAATGTTGAAGATGAGTTTGAAAACTTTGCATCAACTCGTCGTCTATGCATATATGTAGGTCGTTGTAAGCCTACTTCAAACCCAGAGAATATATTAAAAAATACCTAGAAAAACGATCACCCGTACATGAATTTAATGTAACTAAGTTAAATTCACAAGGGAGTAATTCTTCTTACAGAGTAGAAGCTGATATTGAATTAGAAAATAATCTTTATATACTCCTAGTTATTGGCCTAAAGGTGTCATCGTAAAGAAATTTCAATTTCGAAATAGTGGGATACCGAGACAGGGAATTTAAATCAATATTTTAACAAATCTATAAATGTATATTATATTTATATTAGAAGAAATTTCAATGAATTTAGAAAAAATGTTGATATTTATAACTACCAAACCAGGCATGGTAATTTGCTAAGAATTCCAAATTATAGAACAACGTCCCATGAAAAATATCATAAGCTGTTATAAGGTTATATAATAAGTTGCCCCAGGATCAACAAAATTTTAATTCTTTCAAGAAAAAATTTAAATAATTCTTACATGAGTACTGTAATTTTTACTAAATAAATATGTCTATTTATTTTATTTGTTATGTGATAAGTTGATGGGTTCATTTAATATTTACAAAATACTTTTATATTATTTTTTATACTTTTTACTCTTTTTAAAACACTATGAGTGGTAAATGAAACGAATAAATTTGAAATTTAAAATGAAAAAATTACATTTCATTTCACAAATGATGCATCATTGAATAGATAATTAAAAGACCTTTCAAACAAGCTGTCACTAAATCCCACTTTATATTTTAGATTTTAGGGATGTACAGCATCCTGTTCAAGGCTTTAAAGATAGGGGTCTGGAAATAAGTCTAAAGGGTTTCCCCCTCGACAAATAAATTGACGTGTTCAAGCGATTTTTTCTTAACATGGTTTTATGTTTTTTCGATCAACTATTGGTAATCTGGCAGTTTTAAGTCAATATCTCTGTGAATCATTAGATAATAGAGGACAGGTTGATACAGCGTATACCGATTTCTCTAATGCCTTCTATAAAATTAGTCTATCTTGTTTATGTAGGTCTCCTTAAATCATATCTAACTCAACTCAAACAATATATTTGTTATAATGGATTTAATTCTAATTTCTTTACTTCAATTAGAACATTTCCTCAAGGATCCAATTTAGGGCCACATTATTCCTAATATTTATCAAATGCAATAGGGCAATGTTTGTAGATGATTTAAAATTATATAAATAAATAAGCAGACTTGGAGTGATGTACACACTAATAGTGAGATAAAACTGGAATGCATACTTCAGTGTGTAAAAATTTAAAATATTTTATTAAAAATTAAGCTGAGCCCTTTCGGCTTAGATAAAGCCATCATCAAAGCCATTTTAAAAGGTGTTACAAATTAACGATTGAAATATTAAATGATGTTAAAACTTACGTCTAGGATACCCACCACATGGGATCGTTGACAAAACACAACATTTAAGACGTGTAGATAGCTAATGGAACCACAACCTTAGTTAATCCCTTGATAAGGTATATTATTAATGCTACATTATATTAATTATTTATAAAGTCGTCCATAACGTCGCAACATGTGACAAACGTACCTGTTTTAACAATAGACATAAGACATAAACAGACTGACACAGGACAATGACAAGTAGATTGGAGGGCTCGAGAGTGATTCTGGAGTGTCTTAAAATTATATACCAGTATTTCTAGTACATTGAAAAATCAAATTATTATAGGAATGGTGACAAAAAAATAGTCTTCTTTAAATATTCTAAATGTTATAGTTCTGAATGTATTTGTTGTGCAACTTTTTTGTTCCAACTCCATACATATATATTTTAAGAGCTAGTTACGCATTTTATTCCGCAACATATTCCTGGAAACGTGGAAAAATACAAACGTATTGATAAACAACTCGTATAACGCAGCAAAATACAGCTGGAGCGTTATAGCGTTGAAAATTGCCTATTTCTCGATATCATTAAAATTGAAAAAGAGATAAGACTTCGGGGAGAAAACGAAAATGCCTCTCTGCGAAGTTTCTTCTTCTTTTTTTTCGAACATTATTGTCAGTCAACGTCACCATCGAGACCCATTCTGTGCGAAACGTTACACACAATCGTTGTCATGGTTACGATGGAACGCTGCCTCTTTTCTGCTGCTGCCACTTGTTCCCCGTCATTCTAATTGGATCAAATAGAAAAATCTAGCAGATAGATACTGCATCGAGAATCTTACCTGTATATACCTACATTTTGTTTGTGATTCAATATTTAGATTACAGGATATTATTTTTGTGAAGGTTCTATCTGTAGAATTATACTAATATTTATTTAAATGTGTATAATACAGGGAGTCCAAAATATGATGATTTAATGCAATTTACCTGTATACCAAGTTGTACCCCTAAGAAGTTACGGAAGCCTAAAGTGGGGCCATAAATTTTGAAAAAATTTAATATCTC